CAAATGCCAAATTCAAACTGACAAGGCTGGACTGTTGGTATTTGTTAACGAGCTACCATAACATCGAATTTGAGTGTTTAACATGTACATGAAGCGTCCGTTTCACATCACTGACAGGTTTAGTTTGTATTGACTGTACGCATATCCTGCATGTGTTCAAAGACTTGTTGGAGCATGGATCGACTTTGAATACTCAAAAGTGGGCATACTATCAGTAATATAAGTTGCTTGAACTGATGGTATGCATGTTTATATACCAAGTTTGTCATATCACTATACCATTTGTGATCATGAATGGTTGCAGTTTCATCCACATCACACTGATTCAATCATGTGGTAAATGGAATGACTGAAATACGTTTTTCATTTGAAGATTGAAATGGCCAGATTTGAGTTGATAAGCAAAAGCAGTGTAATAAGCAAACGTGTTGATTGGTCACCACTGTAATCAATTTGTAGATCGGATAAATGTGCGGCTAATTATGGGTGATGAGATAATACGGTAAATGAAAAAGGATATTATTGAGCAAGCAAATCTCGAATCACAAGCAATCTCAACAAAACATTAACTGGCAATGCATCAGTTGCTTGATTCCAGATATGAGCTGTATAATTGAAATGGTCAATACCAGTCCAATCTTGGGTTATTCAAAATATTGCAGTCATGACAATGGTCAGTCAAACAGATTGGATCATTACAAGATGGTGTTGCATTGCTGATGCAAAAGCAGCAGTCGATGATGTGAGTAAAAAACCAAGTAGGTAGAATGTGGGCTCACTTGCAAGTGTGACTGCACGCTCATGTATAAATGAACAGTACCATGCATACAGTGGATACGACAGCTGCCAATGAATGGGATTATGCTGTGTTACAGTTGATCATGTTGATATGAAATGGTTGATTGCGATCGTTGCTCGAATTGTTGGTGTATTGTACAATTTTGCGGTTACAAGATCAATGACCACATGTATTGTGATGTAATGCCAGGTATACCATGGTTGAATCTGTTATGCTGGAATTTGGGTACTAATCACATGATATAGAAACAACAGAGTTGCCAAGACCAATCAATGTGCAAGTGAATGGTTGTTGAATGGAAAAATGTCAGATTAGTGTTTGCAAGACTAATGAAATGTGGACCATTGTAATACTTGCTGTAGTATACCATGTTGCACTGTTGATATCGCAGATCCAGTATCGACATGATCGTCTAAATATACAGTATTGATTGTCAAATACTGCAGAGTATCGTGCAGTATCATGAAATATCATGTAATGAATGTCAGTCTATTGATACTCGTGTATCAAACAATTACGATTGATTGTGCATGTGTCGTTGTTTTTACACTCGGTTGTATCATATTGACTGGAATGCATATCAATCGCGACACTGGACTCGATAATATTACGAGTTTAAACTATACTGATATGACTATACATCAACGTGCCAGTATGCATCTTGTTAGACAAATAATAGCGTATGTCTTTGTATAGGACTGTGTTGGGATATGTAATCTGTTGACTTGCACTGAGTATGTGTATCTGGACTGTGATCACCAACTGTAATATCACAACCACCTTTTATGGAAGATCTATAGTAATTAAGAACCCTCGATAATGGTATTTAAGCAATGGCCCACATAGCTTTCTTGTGTACTCTCCCACTTTATAAATACACTTTTCCTCCTTGTTAATAAAACGACTCGATTAGTTTATTGGCTTATTTCTTCAAGCTCTTTGATTGACTGTGATCTATTTCCAGACTACGATAAACACCAATATGCCGTCATATGTTCACGATCTCCAATATTAAACACACTACACTAAATAATCGAGTGCCAAACAATCTGTAAACAAAGCAAACCACCACTCTAATTCATTATTTGCCACAAATTACTGACCGATCAAGTGTCGTTGGGATATATAACATACTATCAAGACTTGTAATATGTCGAGTTGCAACAACATTAAATGCATAAATGTCCATTTTTAATGGTATTGATTGTTGTATAATGGCTTGAGCAACTTTCTAAACAGCGAAATTCAAGACAATTCACACGATTTAAATATTTGGAAATTAGTCAAATTTACACCAGAATTAATGTCTCATTAATGTGAGACATTACTAGTGTGAGAGTGTTGACTTGCATTGTGTGAGACATTAGTAGTGTGTGAATGTGAGACATTTCTGAATAGTTTAACAATCAAAAACCATCAACAATGACGTTTGAACTGGAATTCACATGACTTTCTTGTCTCCTATTTTATAAACACACTCACTTTCTTGTTAATAAACAACACAATCGAATATTGATTCATTCCATCACATCTTCAATCAACTGTAACACACTTGACAACAATGACAATCATCAATATGCCATCATATGTTCACGATCCTCAAATCCAAAAGTCAATTTGAAAACCCCATTTTTAAGCATCTACAAGTCTGCAATATCAGATTTGTGGCTGGTACATAATAGGTTGCCAATAAAAGTCGACAAATTGAGCAACTGCAATGTGCCTTGCTGTATGATAGTAACATACCAGAAATTATCAATGCTTTCAAAATCAAAAGTCTGCAAACGATGTCACTGCTGGCTTGTAGCCTCTGTTTACAAACCTACAATCAACATATTCACTGGATTCGTATAATGGTAAATGCTGAACCACAAACCGCTGATGATATTATTATGGACGATGCTCATATTATTGGAAATCAAACGATTGGTGCAGTTTCAGATGCTGTTTCATCACACAGAAAGTCTTGCTACAGAGTCTGAATACAATAGCAGTGAATCTGCAGTTTGACCAACACAGTCAATAATTATCGTTTGAAACTCGAATCAAGTGATGATGTTGCTGTTTCAGATGCACTCAATGTCATGAATGCAGTAACATTGAAACCAACTCAAACCATTGATCATGAACCAATTTACCGTGTCTTGATAAAAACACTGATAAACCATCATTCATACATGAGCTTGTCAAAAGTATGAACTGATTGCTGATCAGATGTTTAAAGTGGAACTTAAAACAGTTCAACTCAATGTGCAGCTTTCCAACGACTTTCCCGCTACAAAAAATACAGTCTTGGAACTCAAAGTGTACATCAACAATACTTGTGTGTATTGACCATCAATGATGTTGTTGGTGTAGCATACACAATGTGCATTGCATAAACGCTTGTTTGTTTGCTGGAGCTATTTCAAGCAAGCAAAAATACTAAAAGGTTCAGTTTGATGAATGTCTGGTGTATATTTACAATGAATTCAAACTCGAGAGATTGTCGTACTTTGCATACAAGACATACTACAATCTATTACAACAATATCGTGTATTTCAATATGCACCCATTCGATTTACAACAGTGGCATAAACATCATCACATTTGAACAATGGTTCAGTCGTACAAAGTCCAATAACAGCCATGAATTGTATCAGACATGAACATACTGGTGCAAAATTCACATCAAATAACACACCGCAACAAACATGTTTCTGGTAGATGGTGGAATTGATGTCATTGATTTTCAAGTACACGATATTGGTGTTGAATGATTCAATAAACTATACTCATCGACGTTGTGTACTTTTTTCAGTTGCATCGTTTCTGATTCCGAGTTTGAAGCATAATAGTTGCGACAGCGCTGTTGTCCAATTTGCTTGTTGTTGTGAATAGTAATCATGATACCACTTGTTTGACGCTTCCTGTTGTTGAACTGGATATGGATGTCAAATTTGGATGCCAAATTTTGATGCATTGCAAGTAACTGTTGTAGTTTTTGATCGAGTCAATGAATGGCATTTATAGTTGCTCTAGAAAACAAGTTGTTTGAAATGTCCTGTCGTATGTCATATGTTTTGTTGTTTTCATGTTCACTAATTGTTGATAATGCATCCAATTGATTTCTGTTTTGACACTGCTTATTTGTCATTGTTGGATCTGGGTTTCTGGATTCAGTAACAAACGTTTCAGCAATTTGGATGTGTTCAAATTCATAATACTTGCAAGTCTGAATTATTTGATCATCATCTGAAATTGGATACGAGTAATCATTTCCACTAACCACAGTATACATAGTATACACAGCATTACTGTATATTGACTTGTATTTTACTCAAAGTTTTGTACATTCAGTATTCCAACACAATTTCCAACATTGATTGAATGGTTTGCAGTGTTTGTTTTAATTGAACCACTTGATGGATCACTTTCATATCTTGATTCAGCAATATCACCAACTGCACAATGATGGATGTGATTGTAGTCAAACACAATATATTGCAAGACATTAACGTATTGGTTAGTTTTAGTATATTCTTGATAAAAGGCAATGATGCTTTGTAATGGTGTGTTGAATCCTTCAATCAAACATTGTATGTTGTGATTTCCAACAGTGACAGTGACATGACAAACACCTTTTGCTTGTGACAGACTTGAAATCTATGGCTAGCAGACTCGATTGCTGTCAATTGAATAACAATATGCTATTGAACATCAAGTATCAATCCGATTGCATCTGTAGTATTAGATACCCTACTAAACACATCAATTCCACACAAATATTTGTATGCAGCACTGCATGTTGAATATTTAGAAAGGTCGACCAAATCAATTTGCCATTGGCTGTTGATCGTTAGCAAAATACACAGTGATGAGACTATATGCTGGTATTTGACGTGATTGTTTATAAAGTTGATAGACCTGTCGCTGTTCAAGAAAAGCTTCGATTGTGACATTGTAGCTTGTTTGCCGAGTTTCAGATATAGTTTCCGTGCTAAAGTCAAACCACACTTTGGATCGTTTGTCATTAAACAACTTGATCCCATCTTGGTTAACGAGTACGTATTCATTTGATTGTTCTTGACTCTGAATGCATTATTGACACTATTGTGTAACCTTTCTGTTTAATACATCCAGATAGTTTTGGTTTGGTTTGGCATTGTGTTTCTTGTTGATTCGGTTTAAACTAAACCTGTTTGCATTACAGTAGTACATTTTACTTGCCAGTGGTATGATATAATCACTTTTGTACACTGGTTTGAACAAACCAGGTGTTCTGCCATCACACAATGTGTCGAGTATTGTCAGTTTGAATTAATCAAATAGATGTAGTTTTACTATTTGCTTCAAATAATGTCCCGAGATAGCAAAATGTGTCAAATTTGTATCCATTACACAGTACTGAAAGTCATGCCAGTCAATGTAACAATCCATAAAATCATAATAAAACAGAAATATTTGTAACGTTGCCAATCAGTACACTTGGAACCAGCGTGGACTGACAGACTTTATTTGGACAGTGTTTTGTTGAAATAAAACTCATACTTGATTCAAGTCTTGATGAACTATATATAACTTTAGCTTTGTGGATACTCGATCTAATCGTAATCATTGATGTGTATGACATGCAATACAATACCAAATACACGTATTGTTGATTAAGCTTTGGAATGACAATACTTTTGTTGTTTATGATGAAATCAGACAACTTTATTGATGAACATATATGCATTTGTTCTGAAAAAGTCGGTATTAAGACATGTTCATATATTGATTCAATGATCCACCTTGAATTTGGTCGCGCCAATTGTTCCATGATATCATCCCAGCAAGTTGTTTAAAAGTATCATCAATTGATATGTTAACCAATAGGTGCTCATTGATATTAAAAAATGAAGTATTTACAGATGGGTAACCCAGAATTGGTTCATCAGTTTCAACATTACGTAAAATGGATCCAAATTCAATATCAAACCAATACCTCTGTTTTGGATTGTGGTGATTTGTTAGTATGTTTTGTCGTAATTCATCAACCCAAAGTACAAATGCCTACTCCATTTGATAGTTTTTGATTGTGGTTTAAATGGACATTTCTTAATATGGTACCGAGAATATAACCGTTTCATTTCCTTCTTTTGAAACTCTATTAATTGTAAATATGCTATTGTTCCTTCGACTCCACTACTGAAGCATGTTATTCGCTTTCTAAATCGTAGTTTCACTTGCTTGATCTCTGCTCATCTTATTCCCATCAATAAGGCTATCATTACTTTAATATCATTTCGTCTCTTCCTTCCGGTAGATAACAGCATATCCATCGACCTTTCTTCATTTATCATTAAATAGTTGACCTTGTAGAGACCCACATTGTTTGTATTTTCGTCCAATTGGTTATTCATTTTCAACAAATTTGATGTACTTCAAGAAAATAAAAGTTTATTTTTTCGTTTCAAACGAATTAAACGAAACTTATTTTGTTTGTGTATCTCAAACCAATACGATTGAATCCTTTCTGTTAAATATGATGATTGATTATGGTCCTGTTACAGACCCAAAAGAGGTTCCTGTCGGAACTATTAGAATGGGCCAGAATAGAAGAATTTACATTGTAAAGTTGATTAATAACAGAAAGATTTGGGTTTCATTTCAAAGAATATTTCGTTGACTTCCAAAAATTTATTTTCTTTGCGTTGAATATAAAACATCAATGTTAGTGATTCCAAGTTGCTGTCTGCGTTCCAAGCATATCCGAAGCATTCCTATCAATCAAATTATCCTTGACCCTGCGAATAAACACAAGTATATTATCGAAGAGAAACTTTCAACAAATAACACTCTTTCCAAAGTAGTAGCTCCATATTTCGGCGAAGAAGAACCTCTTGCATTGGATGTCGATGACAAACATCTGAAAATTGCTAATCCCAAACGGTTTAATCCTTCTGTTTTGATGAAAAACGTATAGCTGAATTAGAGGATAAAGTAGAACAACTAAATAAACACGTGAAGTTGTCATCCAGATACGAACAAATCAAGTACTACCTTGGAGATGAAAAATACTATTCAGACGACAAGTATTTATACACAGCGCGCAATGGAATTGTGTATGCTGCGAAAATCAATGGCACATTAGAACAAACCGAAGACACATTAGAAGAGTTTATCAAATCGAGTTGGAAAAAGCCAGACCTACTGCATTCCTTGATGCTTGAACAAAAGCGACTCCAAACAAAATGGTTGGACGTGTTGACCAAGGAATCCATAGAAAAAGAAATACATTTTTAAAAAGGATGCTGAACAAGCCCACCAAAAAATTCATCGTCACTAACATACGACTTTGAATCTTCATCCTCACGATCAAATGAACTTTGTACAAATTCAGTCTTTCGTACATTTTGTTGGATGGCTGCCAGATCTTCTAATGCCGGTAACTCTTTACACGTCCTGAATGAGTTGATCGTTAGAATCGATTGAAGTTCAAAGACTTTATTTGATGGATACTTGGAGTATGCATCAACTCGCATTGAGTTTGGAAAGAGCACGACCATTGTACATTTATCCTCATACCTTTTCCCTAGTAATATCATTTCATTCAGAATAACCACAAAATTGGATTGTAGTTTATGTGTATTGATAATTTTGACTCTGTTAGAATTCCACGCAAGTGTGACAACAGTGCCAGCGAACCTTTTGTTTCTCGGTTGTTCTTTTCGGCCCACTCCAATAGCTCGCATTTTGTAATGATATGGCTTTTAAAATCTTCGGGTTTCACCATTTCTTCACAAAAGTAGCATTTTGCTATGCCGTAAATGCAAGTCGCTACGTGATTCTCCAAGTTCCATTCAAACACAGAATTTGCACATAGAGAATGAAGACATTCTGTTAGATATTCACGTAAGTCTCTTTCCAAGAGTATGTTTTTAAACAGGCTGTTGTCTCTACAGGATGGACAGCTCTCAGACTTAAATTTCGTTGAACACAGGGCAAACAAAATGCAGCGCACCATTATATTGGTAAAAAGGAGGGTGTATGAATTCAAAACAGATGATACATCGTAGGTCGTCGATGTGAATTGTATGTTGGATGATAATTTCCTTGTTTTCGCTCATTTTATACATCTACTATAGATTTTAATATTTCTTAATCCGACTTCATAGCTCCTATTATACATTTAGCGGGAATTCCGGCTGGAAACCAAAAACGGTATTCTTCGGTGCTTTACCCTTACTACTTAACTGCATATTCAACTATATAATCAAAGTACATCAAAACTATTGCAATTGGTCCGGTGATCAAACACTCCCATAATGAACACTCTTGCATTATACAAGAAAAAAGCTTAATAATGCTCTAAGCAAAGTAGCATCCCTTACTTTGGTGATGCCAAATCATTGGAATTAACGGTGAACGAAAAACATTTGAAGTTGTTGAATCCAAAAATAGCCAATACCAATTCAATAATCAAAAACTGAATCTGCAAATTAAAAGTCAAATTTCAACAACTCAACTCACAACCTAGTTCAAAAAGCAAATACAACCAAATCAACAACTTAATCAATAGTCAACAGGTATTGGAAGATCACAAATGTACATTTATAATCGTAAATGGCATTGTATACGCAATAAATAATACTGCCAATTTAGACGAACCAGTCAAGTTACAAGACTATGTTGCTTCAACTTGGAAAGATCATCAACTGTTACACTCTTGATGGTTGGTCAACAGCGACTCCAAACCAAACTATTGAATATTTTATGCAACAACTGCATTGACAGAGTTGTTCAATCATGAGTATAACTGCAGCGTTGAGCCCATGGTTGATATGGTTATGAGTCCGATCAACAAGTATCTACATTGGCGATTGACCTGTTATCAACCGTTTGCAGTGATATTGTCAATCAAAATGATACAATATTGGATCAGTTTGAACTGTGTGTCTTGTCTTGTCGATTGTATATTTGACATTGAACAATATCATAATATCGACTTGATTGACAACTGAAATCATGCAATGGTTGGTGATTGTATCAGTTGTCATGGCCCAGTAAATGCAGTGGAGTATGTCGAAATGCATTGATTATGTGAACATCATCAATCAAATTACCAGCGGTATTCGATCATATCATCCAATTGATTATTTAATCTCATAGTCAATGCATTTCAACAGTTTTACAAGATACCATTTTACTATTTGGAAAAATATCCAATCATGACATTTCAATCGAGTGTCATGAAATGCAACACATTCAATTGTAACCCATTCAGATAAGCAATACATGTGCAGCACATGCTTGTCTGTGTAATGCAATCCAAATGACAATGATCCGTGCAGCCTCTGCTTAAACATATGTCATGTCACACAATCCGTACAGATATAGTGATTTGTTGGCAGACTTTGACAACTTGTACCAATGCACACCAACCAACACGAGCATATCCGGCAATCGGTATGTATGACTGTTGATGTGTCAATAGAATCCGTTTAGTTGTAACATATTGTACTGAATTGGTTCGGATAGTTGTTAGCATTGTAATAGTTGTATTGGACGTGTGGATCGAATGCATAGTGGACCATGCAGTGTAGCTCAATGATCTGCAGTTCATTCCACAAACTGTCTGTAATCAAACATGTAGCCAAACATGTAATCGAACATGTGGTTGAATATACAAGTCATGTGATACGTTGTCTAGTCATCAAAATCATGTTTTGAAAATGTCAAGCTTGTTCATTGCTACAACTTGTATGGCCGATCAACAGTCATACAGGTCTGGATTATTGACGGCTTCGAGTACATCAAACACATCAAGCACATCAATATATGCTATTGATTTGGTAAACCCTGAAGTGCATCGAGTTGATCAATATCATTGATTGCATCACCGCAACGAAAAGCCAGATATTTCATGTTGACTATCAATCTGTATGGCGTTTCTGCAACTTGCTACATCGATTTTGCAATATTTATAAACGTGGGTTGTATTGTTTGGATTGCAGGTCATTTGTCAGCGTTGAATCTGATTTTTGGGTCGTTTATTCAACATTCAGAATAGTTTCACATATAGTGTTATACAGAACCCAACGTAATTAAATGTGGCAAGGACACCAAGACTCATGTGCATGGATATTAGTGTCAGGTATATAATAACCCACACATCATGATCATATGTCATGGTTGACTCGTATTCTGGATTGGTGCACTCATTCCATTGTATTTCATTCCATCACTCGAACACAAACATCGTATGACTTGTTGATTGCTAATACCCATATTGATCGAATACACACTACATGACACATGTCAGGTTAGCATATACATTCCACTATATAGCACATCATGTTGCTGATACCACGCATTGTGATTCAACAGTCAATCTGTATTCGAGTTCAACTACAATTGTTCGTGTCAATCATAATATACACGACCAATTGTAGTCGAGTTGATCCGACTGAATAGAGTCCGAGTCATCATGTTCATATCAAACTATTACAAACCATTGCAATTGTATTGCACAATTCCACTCGTGTTGATTACAACATGCTATTCAGAAATGTATCATATTGTCCTGTAATGACTGTACATGATTGTACATGGTTGTTTGGAACCAGTAACTCCGTCGATTGATATCCACAATATGATCCAGTAGTCGTCCAGATTGTGTGTTGTATTTGGTGTGTTGGGTGATGATATCAACCTGTAGTCAAGGTTTGACTATCTGAACATGTCGGTGACTTTTTACCCACTGTGTGCAACTCGATGTCCAATATCGAGTCATGTCATTGGTCAATTGATTGGTTCAATTCATCAGTGGGTTTGCTGGATCCATGTGGTGTGTAGCACTTTCAAGAGTATGTTGAATCTGTTGCAGTATTGGAACTTTGTAAACGGATCAACATACTAACCTGACCATGATTGTGGTGGTCATTGCAGTCGAGTCGTAAAGCTTATTCTGACAATCATTGATGGTTTGGACAATCGTTTGAATAATCGTTTGGATGTCAGGTTACGGTATCCTGATTGACAACTCGACTCGAATACAACTGATTTGAACAATTACTGATCAATGGACTAGCAATCACTCCACACATTGACAGATTTGTCATCCCACATGGAAACAACGACAATCCAGTTGTAATCCATATTGAGCCTTGAATTCAATAGTCGTGAATCAAATCATTAATAAACTACAAAAACAGTCCAATATGCCAACTCGCATTTATCCACGACTCGATATGTGATGTTCAAATGTCTAATATTCAGACTGTGCTGATTGCAATTGTGGTTGTGTGTAAATATCAATCCAATACTCGATTCAATACTTGATTCAACTTGAGCATGTACAGTTTTGTAGTAATCCATTTGATCACATTGACAGAATCAAGCAATGATTTGATTCAACAACACTGAATGATGCATCCATATCATTTGTATCAATCAATTGTACACAATCAGTCAATATAATCAACAATCACTGTCATGATTGACATGATTGATTCAATCAAGTTCCTTTGCACGAATATGGTCATGGTGTTTCGACTCGTTTGACAGGTGGATCTTTGGCGCCTTTGTGCATGTCGGGCCATGAAACTAGAGGTATGAGCGAAGGTTGGTCCGACATATTTGCCATGATCGTGACTGCCAAAGAATCCGACAAAGCCGATACGCCAGTTATCCTTGGAGCGTATGTTATTAATAAACCCGAAGGTATTCGCTCGCATCCTTACACTACGGACATGAAAATCAACCCTTTGACATATGGCGACCTTAAAACCCGCACAGAGCTGCACGAGGCTGGTGAGGTGTGGGCAGCCATGCTTTGGGAAGTTTACTGGAACTTGGTCACCAAGAGTGGATTTTCTACCAATCTCTACGATGCCAAGGGCAAGGCTGGCAACATTGTTGCTATGCAGAATGTGATGGGTGGATTGATGCATCAGCCATGCAGTCCTAGCTTGGTCAATGCTCGTGATGCCATTATTGCGTCCGATGCAGCCTATTATAATGGGGCCAACAAGTGCGAGATTTGGAAGGGATTCGCCAAACGTGGTCTGGGAGTAAATGCAGCAGATTACACAAACGATTTCTCTGTTCCAGCGGAATGTGGTAGCGGTTCACCTCCACCTTTGACCACTACTCGTGGTCCTAAACCTACTTCTGGATGCACTCGCATGGACATTTGCTGCATCTATGTTGGAAAAAGCTGTGACCAAGACTAAATGCTCAAGTTTAGTAATGGCTTTTACAATTTATTAAATGAAAGTATATTGTAAAAATGTAAACAGTTTGTATTGGTAATGGTAATGATTATTTGGTTAGTGTTAATAGACTAATAGTATACTGTCATCTGGCAGTCAGTCTACACTTGCAGGCACGACACTATCATTCGTGTAGTGCAAGTTGGTTTACAGTTTATTAAAAACAAGCTGATTTTTACAAATGATCGATATTGATTCATGGCAGTTAAACATCACTATTCAAGCACAGATACAACACTCTTGTTTGAATCTAATAGTCTAATTTTATTATTATTAATTTAGGATCGTCATTTGAGCTTGGAATATCTTGGACACTTTATCTCCCTCTCATTTGTGCAATAGCTGCCTTAAGTCTCATTTTTTTTTGTTGCACAGTCTCACTTCTAGCAGCTCGCTTTTGCTGCAGGCGATGAAATCTGGCAGCTTGCTTTTCTTCCACTGTCTTGCTCTGATGATTTTTTCCTTTAAATATTCCTTTGACTTTTTTCTTTGTACTATGCAATACTCCTTTTTTCTGACCTGCCTGACCCATCTGATTAATTCTGTCAACTTCTTTCATATCGGCCCTGTTTTGCTTCGATTCGCGCTGCAGTCTTCGTCTCTCATTGCGTTCCAGTTTTTTGTCCAAAGATCTTTGTAGTGCATCTCGCCTCTTTGTCATCTCATCCAGATGCTTTGATTGTGCTGCTAGCTCCGGACTCATCCGGTTTCCCTGACCCGAACCGCCTGGTTGCTCTGAACTGCTTGGTGGTTGTCCCGGTATTCCAGCCACTGCTTGTCTTAGTCTTTCCTGCATCTCCGTCATAGAGTTTCCATCCGCTATTTGTTCTGGTGCCATACCTATTGGTGGTATAGGTGAGCGAGCGAACAGGTGCACATCTTGTTCTGGTAATTCTAGTGCTCGACGTTGCAAGTGAAATTCATGCCCTGGATTAATAGCAGGAGTGGCTGCAAGAGCCATGCTAGAAGCACCGAGAATAATACTCCATTGAGCAAGTTTCATTAAATTATATTATTTGGAATGTGTTAATCGGCGCCAATGTATCAATCTCAATGCCTGTATAGTTTTCAAAATGGGATTGTTGCATGTTTTATACTCGACAAGGAGTAACAGTGGAGTTTGTTGTCAAAACACTATCCACATGGATAGGCTACTTTGGTGGCTACAAGAAAGCTTTGTGGGTCACAAACTATATGAAAGGTTACAACACGCCTCACAATTGAACCGGACTGTGTCGTCCCATCTGTTTTGTTCCAAGTTTAGTAATCGAGTCTACACAAATTTGCATTTGACCAAAGGGTGGCTACCGTTTACTGACTCCTGTACACTGACGGCCAACTCCAAGACTTGACTAGTATACCATTCTTAGTCAACATATGCTTTTTGTGCCTCGAAACATTGACATTCGACAACCAGAGCATCTGGGATAAACTGATTGATTTTGGTGTGATGTTGTCAAGGGATTTTCCTCCCTAAACTCAAGATTGGCTGCTTGCTACTAAACCACATCAGATCACAGGGATTGCTGAAATAACATGGTCAGGATTAGGGTTGAATGAGTATGTCCTGATGTGATCCTATTGGTCATATAGGACATCACTCGAGCTTCGACAAGTAAAGTTGCATCAGATTGAATTGCATATTCGCCATGCATGATTTTATAGCTATACAAAGTCATTGTCTTGCCAATCAGTTTGCTTTGCATGTGCCAAACTTGGTGTGGTAGGTATGCTACTATATAGTACTAGTATCAAAATCAATTGATAAGCATAATGGAGCAGGTTGGTTCAGGAAACAGTGTCTGATGGCTGTAGACTGGCAATGCTATCCAGAATCCATTTTCAACAGACTCCAAAACAATGTTTCGACTTTACAGCATCAATGAAACAGTGGAATGCCAAATGGAGTATCAAATGGAGTATCAAATCAAATACCAAATGGAGACCAAAATAGATGAACTAGCCCAACAATCGGAATGAGATATGATGTAATACATGCAATAAATATACACATGGCTTGTAGCACAGGATCAGTGACTGATATACCGATCATTGCATTCATTTCACATGTATTGAGCAAGTGTGGTAAAACAGATATGAATGGAGTGTATG